CTGAAGCATATTGTTATCTGATTCGGATTACTATAATTGACTTACTGGCCTGCTTATTTGCCTATCTGCTTATTGATCGATTTTATGACCTTGTTTACCTATCTGTTTACCTGCTGACGGGCCTACGAACGTATCTGTTTTGTGTCCTTGTTCGGGGCCTGTTTCTTCTATGGCGGCCTGTATTATCATTCTGCTTACCTACCTGCTAACTGATCTGCTCCCGGGCCTACCTACCTACCTACCTATTTACTGATCTACTTTCGAACTGGCCTGTCTGCCGATCTGCCTGTTGATTTACTTCCCTATTTGTCTCTCTACTAACTAACCGGTTTGATGGTCTGTCTCCCGGTCTACTTGTTTATGGTCTACTTATGATTCTGCTTGCCTACCTGCTAACGCGCCTGCTCCTGGGCCTGTCTACCTATCTACTTGCTAATCGGTTAATTTTATGGCTATTTACTTACCGGCCCGTTTACCGGCCTACTGATTTACTTGTTGTCCTGCTTTATAATGCGCCTGTCTATCTGCTAACTGGTCTATTCCTGAATCTACATATCTATCTGCCGGTAAACTGGCCTGTCTGTTTATCTGCCTGTTGATTTACCTTTCCATTTGTCTCTCTACTAATTAATCTGTGGGATGGTCTGTTTCCCGGTCTATCTGTGTACTGATCTGTTTACGGACCAGTTTTATGGCCCTTACCTACCTTATCCCTAATGTAACGGGCTATGTAACCCTAATGTGGCCTTATTCGGGATCTGTTTCCTCTGTGGCCTATTTTATGATTCTGCTTATCTACCTGCTAACTAGCCTGTTCCCGGGCCTACCTACCTACCTCCCTACTTACCCACTTACCTATCTACTTATCTACTTTCGAACTGGCTTGCCTGCCTATCTGCCTCTCTATCTGCCTATCTGCTAACTGCTCTGTTTTATGGTCTGTTCCCCGGTCTGCCTGCCTATCTACCTGTTACTGGCCTGTCTGCTAATCTGCCTGTTATTTGCCAGCTTATTTGCCTATCTACTAACTAATCGGTTCGGTCTACCTATTTATCTGCTAACGGGCCTGTTTTATGGCTTTCTTTATAGCTCGTCTCCCTGCCTTGTGGGCCTTGTTATGGCCTGTTAAATGGCATATTTGATGGCCTGCTTGGGGGTTTACTTGGTAATCTACATATTGACCTGCGTGTTGACCTGCGTGCTGACCGGTGTACTAATCTGTTTCCTAACCTATCTGCCTGTCTATCTGCTAACTGAGCTGTTCTATGGTCTGTCCCTGCCAATCAGTTAATTTTATGGCCGTGAACCTACCTGCCCGCCTACCCGCCTAGCTGATGGCTTGCTTCGCGATCCGCCTATCTATATGCGAACTGGCCTACTCCCGGGCCGGTTTACCTATCTATCTGCCAACCGGTCTGCCCGCCTGCCAACCTATCTATCTATCTACTTGCTGCGAACCTATCTGCTAACTGACCTGCTTCATGACCCCGTTCGGGATCTACTTCGTTTATGGCTTGCTTTATGGTCTTGCTTTCCTGCCTACCTACCTGCCTACCTGCCTACCTATTGGATTATGAATATGAAGCCCGATTTCATCGCTCGACTGCTATCAATTGAATAAAATAACCTTAAGCTACCGCACCATATAAACCTTAAACGGGATCGGATTGGGGGGAATGGATTATCGATCAATGGATATATTTATATATATCCTGAAAAAATATCGATATCTTATTCGGATTGGATACTGGATTGATTTGCCTGTTTAGCTGCCTGTCTACTAACTGATCTATTTTATGGTCGGTTTTCTGGTCTGCTTACTTACCTGTTGACGGGCCTACGAACGGATCTGTTTTGTGGCCTTGTTCGGAGCCGGTTTCTTCTACGGTCTGCTTCATTATTCCGTCTATCTACCTGCTGACGGGCCTACCAACCGGTCTCCTTTGTGGCCTTGTTCGGGGTCTGTTTCTTCTATGGCCTGTTTTATTATTCCGCCTATCTGCCTGCCTATCTACTTATCTACTTTCGAATTGGCTTGCCTGCCTATCTGCCTGTCGATCTACCTATTTACTGGCCTGTCTGCCTATTAACTGGCCTGTCTGCCTATCTACTAACTAATCTGTTTGATGGCCTGTCTTCCGGCCTACTTGTTTATCTGCTAACGGGCCTGTTTTGTGGCCTCGTTGGGACCTACTTCTTTATGGCCTGTTTATGATTCTGCCTGCCTACCTGCTAACGGGTTTGCTTCTGGGCCTGTTTACCTATCTACCTGCTAGTCAGTTAACTTTATGGCTGTCTACTTACCGGCCCGTTATCGGCCTACCGATTTACTTACTATCTGTTTTATAATTCGCCTGTCTATTCAAGTAAACTGTAACCCTAATGTAAATATGCAACTCTGATATAAATCTGTAATTCTCATATAAATTTGCAACCTTTATAATCTCTAATCCGGATTAAACTAATGATAAACGTTTATATAAACCCTGACCGTCTGGAATCTGATCTTGGGATGATCGATCCTAAATACTATACTCTACAATCTTAATCTTGCAAAATTGGAATTATCTTTTCTGCATCAATGAAATATATAAATATGCCGGAATTACGTTGCTAAACCCGAATCTGATCTAACTATTCCGGCTGGCAACCGTATTATCTCTTGGTAAATCGCTTGGGATGTCAACCAGTATACCTCAAAATATTATTTAATGATATATAATGCTATACATCCCGCAAAACGTTAATTATGTAAATAACCCTATTATACTATATTATGCCCGACCAAGTTACGTAAATTCGATTATTTGCCTAAAAAATCAAATATAACCTTAATGTAAATAATTAAAACTAACTTTATTTATTTAATTATACATTTTACTAACTCTATCTATTCTACTAATTCTATTTTTTTTACTAACCCTATTTATTTTATAAATCTGACTTATCCTACTAACCTACTAATCCTACCTATTGTCACGGACTGTGACCTGCCTCCGAGGACCTTCCTCGCGATACCCTATAACCTAACTCCCCGATAGGGACTAGCGTCAGAGCTGTCACACATATTGCAGCCAGCTCCTAAATAGCTTCATAGCTTAGCTTAGTTTCCTCGTCAAATACATACCCTACATTCTCACGATTCCCTATCGTTAGTGTAGCCATTCGTTATATCAAACTAAGCTCGTCTTTTATTTCATCCTTTTTACTTCTAGCGATAACGTTGTATTGAGAAATTGCTGGCACACGTTAGCGTGTATACTCACTTAATTCTTCTAACGGAATCGCTCCACCTACCGAATCACGATAACAAGAACGACGATCACGGATCGCGGATTACAAATTATGGTACTAGCTACCCCCCAGAAGAAGACCAAAGCCACTGCAGCCCAGAGAGGACCCAGTAACAAAGATTACGGAAAAAGACAGAATGTCCCTGGCCGCTTCTCTGATAATAGCGAGTTTGAACGCGAATCTGACAATCTTGACCTCCCGAAAACGGAAATGGAAGAGGTAGTATCAGAATCTGCAAAATCTGCCAAAGATAAAGTAGCTCGTTAGGCTCGCAAGGCTTGCCGCCTTGAAGAGTAACGTCAGACCGAAGAAGATCTCGAGCTCAACGACCTAGCTAATTCGATAGGTATAGATGATAACTTGGATATCTTACAGCTCGCCGCAGGGGCTGGGCCCGAAGGCGAACTTACTGAGCAATATCGCAAAATGTTTTACAGCAAGTTTTACAATCATCTGGAAACAGCAGTTAACGAAACCTAAATACTCATTCAAGAGCTTGTCCCGTTTAAAGTTCGAGCCGCGGGAATTATACGGGAGAAGAAACAGGCTGAAAAGGTTACTACTGAAATAATCTGGACAGCTAATACCAAGGATATCGAGATTGAGTAACTTATGAAGGAAAAACAGAGCTACATGAGCCGGATTGTCGAACTTGACGCAAAGGTTGCTGCCATAGAAAGGGCTTAGGCCAGAGATTGCAACCAGCCAGCCGCAGGCACTAGGGACCAGCGTAACGAGACTTCCCTCTCCGGTACTGGCAGTATTAGTTGCCGTTCGGCAAAGATGCCCGATTTCCCTCTCTTTGATGACGGCAAAAAGGTCCGCTTCGATAATTGACAAATCCGAATCTACGATAAACTAAACGCGAACGCTGATTACTTTAAAACTACTAAAACGGAAATGACCTACGTGAAAAGTCGCCTGGAAGGACGAGCAGCGGAACATATTATTGTACGTTCCCGTCGGAACTCGCTGAACCCTTACAAGAACGTTAAAGATATTATGGATTATTTCCGCTCTATCTACGAAAACTTATACCGCAAGACTAACGTTTAGAGCAAGCTACGTCAGTTAACTATAAAAGTCAGCGACAGATTTACAGAGTTCATTTCAACTTTTACCCTTATTGTCTCTGAGGCAGAGCTTGCAAAAGAAGAATAGAAAGAGAATCTTTACTAACGTTTACTATCCCGTTTGCAGACTCAGTTAGATGACCTAAGCAGCGATCCTAATGTCGATTATAAAAATTTCTGCCTGATTATTACGCGCCTTGATAATCGCCAGAATTAACGCTTTTCTCTCAAGGCTAATTAGCGTACTACGGTCTTAGCCCCTTCAGGTAGATCGACCGGCAAACCAACGACTATAGATGCGTCTCCAGCGGCTGCAGCATTAACTTAACTCTCTGCAAAATCGACTAGCCCGGGCTATCTTGCTCTAAGTGTAGAGAAGAAAAAGCTCTCGGACGAAGGCCGTTACTTCTACTGCAAGAAGGTAGGATACGTTTTTCGCGTATACCCTAAGAAAGCAGTAACAAATGCTATTAGTAAAATTGAAAATCTAGCCAGGGAGCAAGAGAAGGAAAACACTTAACCGGCGGAAAACTAAACGCCCTGGAACATGTTTCCATCCCAGGGTTAGATGGATCGATCAGTGCAATCGACATGAGAGAGATAACCGGAAGGCATAGCTTTAAAGTATCAGTTATGATCTCATTCAATGGACTCTCTACTAAACAGTATGCACTGGCCGATTCTGGAGCAACCAGATACTTGTATATCGATACTGCAACAGCGCTAGACTTGGTTAAACGATTAAACATTCCGATCAAAACACTATCACAAGCGATCCCAACTGTTAGATACAATGGTAAGGCAGACAGGCCACTGCAACATTACATCCAGCCATACCTGTAGATAAATGGACAACGATTCCTGAGTGAGCCGATGTTAATCACTCCACTCGGGAACCACGAAATGATTATCGGCAAAACATGGTTGGCTAAACGAGACGTCTGATTAGATTGTACTGAAAACAAGTTGCGATAGCCAGAAGAGCGATCAATTAAAGAGACAATCCAGGCCCGTAGCCATATATTTCTCCCCCGGCAGATCCTTAAGCGACCACCCCCTGACCTATCCCATCAAGCGGACATGGAGCGTCGGGAACGAGCATTTAATGCTCCAATCCCGCGAGAAACGCAAACCCGTCGTAACAATTTAGTTAAGATGAATAGAGCGCTACACGGCCAGCAATTATCTCGATCGAATGATATTCAGCCTATATCTGTTTCGGTTTAACGAAAGGCAGCGTGCCATCTAGCAATCATAAAGATCGCGGTAATCGGAGCTGCAGGATTCAACCGGCACACCCGCAAAGGGAAAAACGAGATCTGCGTAGTAACCCTTCAGCAGATTAAAGAGGTCATCGATAATTGCCTCGCGATACTTGACCCCCAAGAAGCTGTTAACTTACGGGGGAAGATCCCCAAGGAGTACCATGATTACCTCGACGTTTTCTCCAAAAAGGCTTCTGATCAGCTCCTACCGCTGCGTGAAAAGAACTACCGGCTGACTCTGGACCCGGAAACGTTACCGGGCGAGACTATTGGCAATGGACCTCTCTATAAGATGTCTATCGAAGAGCTGGAAGCAGCTAGACAGTACATTATAGAGAATCTTGACAAAGGGTTTATCGTCCCTAGTGGAGTACCGTTCGCGTCTCCAATCCTGATGGCCAAGAAACCGGATGGGGGCCTACGGTTCTGCGTGGACTACCGTCGATTGAATAGTATTACGCAGAAGGACCGTTACCCGCTCCCGTTAATCGGTAAGTTCATAGAACGCTTGACCGATACTAGAATCTTTATCAAGATTGACATCCGACAGGGGTTCTACCGTATCCGCATGAAACCGGGACAGGAAGACCTTACTACGTTCAAGACGCGATACGGGAATTACAAATATCAGGTTATGCCCTTCGGACTGACGAACGGCCCAGCCACGTTCCAGAGATATATGAATAGTTTGTTTATGAATATGCTCGACCGCTATATAACAGTTTTCATAGATAACATCCTGATTTTCAGCAAAAACGAAGCCGAACACCGGAAACATATAAAAGCAGTATTAGAACGCCTTCGTGCAGCAGGCCTCCAAGCCGCGATTCACAAGTGCGAATTTCACCAAGCAGAAATACGATTCCTGGGCTTTATTGTATCTGGAAAGGGAATAAGGGTAGACCCTGCTAAGGTTACAGTAGTAAACAAGTAGCGCCCTCCTTCTACGGTAAAAGGGGTCCAGTCTTTTCTGGGTTTCTGTAACTTTTACAGGATATTTGTCCGAAACTATAGTTAGATAGCCCGACCATTGAACGCATTAACCAAACGATCTGTTCCCTTTATTTGGGATGACGCCTGCCAGGAATCTTTCGAAGAGTTACGGGTACGATTGATATCGGTACCGCTTCTATAGCATTACGATCCAGGCCTGCCTAGTCAGCTAGAAACAGATGCTTCAGACGAGACTATTGCAGGTGTTCTCTCTTAGGAGTTCAAGGGATTTTGGCACCCGGTTGCCTACTACTCTAAGTCTATGTCAGGTCCCGAGCGCAATTACGATATTCATGATAAAGAAATGCTGGCAATCATTTACGCTCTAGAAGAATGGCGTCCGGAGCTAGAGGGACTGCAACGAACTGACCGGTTTAGTATATAGACGGATTACCGGGCGCTAGAATACTTTATGACCAAGAGAAAGCTCAGCCGACGGCAAGCGCGCTAGTCCGAATATCTGTCTCGTTTTTATTTCCTAATTCGATTCTGCCCCGGAAAGGGTAATGTAATTGCAGATATCCTTTTACGGAAGGACTACTGCGGAGGGACTGCTGATAGCTACAATATCCAACAGATGATACCGGATGAGGCCCTGGAGGAAGCCATCCGTGACGAACGTGCGCTAACCACGCAGCTCTGCGTTCTCGAGAACCTAAAGGGGATCAAGATCGTTGACCAAGTGCTAGCCGCTAACCGATCTGCCCCCTCACTAGAGAGCCAGCGTGCCCAGGCACAGGAGCCAAGTGATAACTAGTCGTTGCAGGATGGATTACTCCTGCACCGAGGACGTCTGGTAGTTCCGGAAAAAGATCTAGAGCTGCGCACCCGATTTCTAGAGGAAATATACAGCCAGCGCTCGACCGCTCACCCAGAACGCATGAAGACCCGTCGCCTTTTTCAGCAAAGATTTTACTGGCCGGGATGGGGTCGAGATATAGACCGCTACATCCGAAACTGTCAGTATCAAGCAGATAAGGTCCCTAGGGACAAGACCCCCGGCCTGCTTCAATCGTTATCGGTTTCCGTTCGGCCATGGCAGCACATCTCTATAGATTTTAAAGAGTTCCCAAAGGACAAGAGCGGATTCGATATGGCCTTCGTGGTAGTATGCCGATTAAACAAGCAACCAGTGTCAGTTCCCTGTCATAAAAAGATCAGAGCACGGGGTATAGTACGCCTTTTTATTGAATATATTTACCGACACTATGGGGTACCGGATTCTGTTGTCTCTGACCGGGGACCGCAGTTTATCTCTGAATTTTGGCACGAATTCTACCGAATCCTGGGTATAGAACTGCGGTTCAGCACAGCTAGACATCCGCAGACAGATGGTCAGACTGAGGCAATTAACTAGCATATTGGGATGCGTTTACGACCATTCGTAAATCACTATCAGGATAATTGGGGGGAGCTACTGCTAATGTTGGATTATACTACTGCTATTCTGGTCCAAGAGTCAATACAGATGACGCCCTTCGAGGTAGTGCTAAGGTACCAGCCCCGGACCTCGTTTGATTGAGATCGACCTGTTGATGAAGCTCCGGTCCCGGCCCGAATTCGCTTGGAACGGAAAGACGCACTCAAACATGTTCAGATACTGCACGAGGGATGGGACCTTGCCCGCCAGCAGATGGTAATAACTCAGAAGAAACAAGCTGTTCAAGCTAATAAATTCCGCTGGGAGCCAGATTTCGGAGTTAATAATAAGGTCTGGCTATCTATGGAGGGATTGAGCACAAGTCGACCAAGCAGGAAACTGGATCACCAGAGGCGTGGACCTTATAAGATTACGGTACAGAAAGGATACGCATTTAAGCTGGATCTGCCTCCGGAAATGAGGATCCATAATAATTTCGCACCGGATCGTTTCAGATTAGCTGCAGATGACCCATTGCCCGGCCAGCGACCCCCAGTGACGGAACCGGTAGAGATACACAGTAAAAATAAATGGGAAGTTAACGAGATCGTGGCAAGCCGACTCTACTACAAAAAGCTGCAGTATCAGGCCAAATGGAACAACGCAGATGATAACCCGACCTGGTATCCGGCGAGCAACTTTATCGGCTGTCCACATTTGGTACAGGAATATCATCAGCAGTATCCGGACAAGCCGGGACCCCCGAGACGTCTAGGCGCCTGGTTAGAGGCATACAATGGGGAAAAAGAATTCGAGATTACGCGAGAGGATGAACTGCTGGTTTGACAACAGCGATCGAGGGCGATCGCGAGCCTAGAAAGGGGAGTAATGTCACGGACTGTAACCTGCCTCCGAGGACCTTCCTCGCGATACCCTATAACCTAATTCCCCGATAGGGACTAGCGTCAGAGCTGTCACACATATCGCAGCCAGCTCCTGAATAGCTTCATAGCTTAGCTTAGTTTCCTCGTCAAATACATACCCTACATTCTCACGATTCCCTATCGTCAGTGTAGCCGTTCGTTACACCTATTTAATGATCTACCAAATCTACTAATCCTATTTTTTCTACTTTCTCTACCCGTTTTACTATCTTTATTAATTTTACAAATCCTAACTATCGTACAATCCTTTCTATCCGACAATCCTTTCTATCCGACAATCCTACAAATCCTACAAATCCTACAAATCCTACAAATCCTACGTATCCTACAATCATATCTACCCGACAATCCTACAAATCCTATAAATCCTACAAATCCTACAAATCCTATGTATCCTATGTATCCTATGTATCCTAAATCCTATATGTCCTACAATCCTACAACCCTATCTATCTGACAATCCTACAAATCCTACATATCTTACGTATCCTACATTCCTATCTATCCTACCTCCTACAAATCCTACAAATCCTACAAATCCTACAAATCCTACAAATCCTACAAATACTGCTTACCTATCGGCCTGTCGGCCTGCTTACCTATCTACCGGCCTACCTGTCCGCCTGCCTACCTACTAACTGATCTGTTCTATGTCTGCTTTCCGGTCTGCCTGCCTATCTGCTAATCGGTTAGCTTTATAGCTGTCTACCTACCTGCTTGATATTCCGCCTGCCTACCTAACTGATCTGTTCTATGGGCTGTTCCCAGTCTCCCAGTCTATCTGCTAACTGGCCTCCCTGTCTGCCTGCCTATCTACCTCCCTATCCGCCTGTCCACCTATCTGCTAACTGATCTGTTCTGTGGTCTGTTCCCGGTCTACCTGCCAACCGGCCTGCTTCGGGCCTGCGTACCTATCTACCGGCCTGCCTATCTGCTGACCGGTTGCCTGCCTATCTTCTGACCGGTTACCTTTATGGCCGTCTACCTACCGGCCCGTTTACCGTCCTACCTATTGACTTGGTGGTCTGTTCCACGGTCTACCTGTCTATCTACCTGTCTATCTATCTGCCTATTTGCCGATCTACTGACCAATCTGTTTTGATCTGTCTCCCGCTCTACCTACTTATCGGCTAACGGGCCTGCTTGGTAACATTATTCGGGACCTGCTCCGTGTATGGCTTTATTTATAGTTTCTCCCTGTTTCGTGGCCTCGTTCGGGCCTGCTTCTACGGCCTGCTGCAATCGTTGCTGCCATAAGCCCTGGATTCCCTGTGGCTGGGGCCAAATACTATGCTCGCTATCATGGGATCAAAATCAATATCCATATGGCATTATCAAATGTATTCACTAACTGATAAACTGCCGGATCCCGGGTGTACAGTGGATGCCCTCCAATTCCTTGCAAATCTGCCACAACCAACAAAATGTATGGAACAACTGACTGTGTTGCCCCCGGGCTCCGTCGGTGGCCTGCCCGAAAAACCGCACTACTTGCCCGATATTTTCGCTGTCTATCTCGTGTTGTTGCAGCCGCCGTTGCCATAACGGCTGGATCTGATCGTGCCACGGTCCGAACAACATCATTACCGTTATGGGAACCAATATATCTTTATACACGCAATCTCCCCGCCGGGGTACGCTCTGGTCCCACTGGCGGCAAATGGTCTGCGGTATCCCACAGCGGAAACACGCCGAATACGGGACATATCGGATTCGCTGGCTGCGGACGGCCTGCATCCACGCCTGGGCCCGTGTGGCCTCCGGATTGCGGCAAAAATACAGCTCGTGTTCGTACCGATCGTGCCCTCCTAGCGTACATATGTAATACCGCCGCTGCCACGGGAGTACCTCCCGCTCGATGATCTCCTCATCCAGCCACTGCTCCTGGATGGCCCGGATGGCCGGGGCCTGGATCCCCCGCAGTGCGGCCGTCTCCTGGCCTATATCGGCAATATGCAGCCGGTAACGCCGCATTACCTAGTTTTCTTCGGCCTCGACCTCCCACGGGGACCGTGTCCGCTGGCCACGGACTTCGGCGGACGGTATAACAGCGGATGCAAATGCTAAAAATCGGTACCAATCCGTACTGGACAAGCGAAATATCTGCTGCCGGTAAGCTGTAGGACCGGCTTGCTCCATAATCTCTCGCGCATATACGGTACCGGTTAAGTGGGACGAGTGTGCTGCCTGCAGATTCGCGATATGGTCCATCTATTGCTCTAGATCCATTCCGTCTTCCGCGTCCGGGTTAAGTGCCTGTACCGCGACCTCCTGCTCCTCCTGGCAGTTATGTACAAACGCGCTGGATAGCCGCATAAACCGCCGGCTGATCCCGATAGCGAGCTCCCGGTATGCCTGGATATTGATCGGGTGACGTAGTGCCATTTTCGTTTCGCGTTTAAATGTCTTACGCAGTCGCTCGGATAACCATTAATGCCGCGTCCCGGGATCGGGTCCCCAGATGAACGCATTCTCCCGGCTGGGAGGAGCCCGGTTGGCTGTAGACGGTAACTCGTGCTATATCTGTTATGCCTCGAGTTGTTGGACGAATGGCAGCGCTAACCACAAATACCATACCACGAGCTCTCCGACCTCCCGCGGTAAATACCGGTAGATCACTTTGATGTCATTGCTGGCATAAAATCTCTTGTGGTATACACTGACTACTGCTACTAGCCCGTCCTCGATAAATATATTGCGCTACCGGTTAATCGTAATATGTACATGTTAAATGCTTAACAGTTCGGGAGCCCGAGCCGGCTGCCCGGTAACTACCTGTACTAGGACAGCTAGCTTCTCCTTGAACTGTACTACCTGCTGGAAGTATTGCGCCACGGTCGGGGGGTGCAGCTGTTGCCGCCGCTGCCGGACGGTAAATCGGGCCTGTATGGCCGGTTCGGCCCGCAGCCGGTCCCGGACCCACTGCGGCCCCTGTACCGGCCATTGCGTTCGCCTGTCCTTCAAAAAGCTCTATCCAACCGTCCGCTGGGTGGGATCGTCGTACATAGCATGCTATGGGATGGCCGGCAGCTCGTGGGTCTGGCTGACGCCGAGAACATCACATAATCTCTGCCGGGTTACCCCGATCAACCCATGCACGAAGCCGCGGAAATCGCCCATGGTAAACTGGATGTGCTAGTATCCGATCTCCTCGTTGCTGTGCCAGGTAATATGTCCCGCGGCGGTAGTATTGTAGTAGATTTTCAGCCCGTATGTCCGCCAGTCTAGCAGCGTCTGCATGGGCCCGGCTGTGCCTCGTACCATAAATGCCTGTACTATCGATGCTAACTGCTCCTGGAACGACTTGCCCGTGCGGCAGGTCCGGGGGGTAGCAACTAGCGGCTGTAGCTCCTGGCTGCCGGCTCGCACGGACAATGTAGGGGGGGATAACGGAGAAAGGAATCCGGGGAGATATCGGGGCCGGTCTGCCTCGGCCTCGCTGGAATATCTGCTATCGGGCTCGATATCTTCCAGCGTATTATCGGCACTGGCTAATGCCTACTGGGTACAGTCTGCCTTTTGCAGCCATATCTGGATAATAGTTTCCGGGTCCGGATCCAGCTACAGTGCCTTTTGTACTACCATAAACCGAGCTACCTTGATTACGCGAAACAAGATCGGCGGGTAACTCTCGGCATTTCGCCAGCGATCGTAATTCCAGCCCTAAACGGCTATAGCGCAGACCAGCACGCTCTCATACTCGTATCCCTGCTGCTTCTGGTTTAGCAGCTTAATGCAAAATTCCAAGTATCGCTGCTCCAGTGGGTTTATCTGTTACGCGGCTATTTCATCTGCTTCATCAGCCTCGATACCTTCATTGCTGTTGTCGTGCGATAGCTGTACGGCTAGTACCCACAGCTGGTGCCACCGTTTGCGCTGCCGGGGGGTCATCCTGTACGGCGGGCTGGTCCACTCGTGGGGAGCCTGTGTGCGGGCAATAAACGCGAGGATCCGCTGCTACGGCTGGACATGTTTAGCAATACTTTCTGCGTTCATGTATGCCTGCAGCGGCCGATACGGCAGGGTAGCTCTAGCGTCTGATTGTACCGCGGTAAACCGGATGGCGGAACCACTGTACCGGACCGTTCGCTGGCATTTACGGACTAGCTGTTCTATTGTAGTCTACAGCCGGCGGACTCCCTATTCGACCGAATTCTCGGGCTCAGTCGGATCTTTCTCGGGCGAAACAATTACCCGAGTTAAATCGTGGGAAGCGATAGCTTCCAGGTATTCAGACCAGCCGGTCATACGCAGCCACGGGTTCGCGTCGGTAATCTCGCACGCCTGAATAGTTTCCTGTATCTGCGCTGCCTGCGCCTCGGTTTACGCAGTTTCGACCTCTTGCAACGCCTGATCAATCGTGTCGGGGATACTGAATGGAACATTCTCCTCGCTAATAATAGGAATGTTCTGAGATTCCTGCCGGGTAGGAAATATGCGCTGATACGAAACCGAAATGTATGATCAAGCTAACTGACAATTGGCTTTTTCCTGCTGTAGACGACAAACGCGATCGCAGCCAGAATACTGGGACCATTGATGTACCTTACGCCAGTGTTCCCGCATGGTCTTCAGATTCCGGGTCACATATCGGCACTCGGGGTCCCGCTAGCATAATAAACTATTGGTATGGATCAGTAATCCAAAAATAGGCTGCTCCAGTTGTTTAGGCCAGTCGATTTCGGTAGGCTCGTGTACCAGATTGGGCCACTGTCGGACGGCTTCGCTGATCTGGACGGTTTCCTGATAGGAAACCAGCAGGTGGGCTCCGTTTTTCAAATAACGTTGGACTTCTCGTGGCCATACCGCGTGCTGGCATGTTCTGCAAATGATAATGGGCAAGGTCGCTAGCTGGCTGAAAATCTGATCTTCCATGATAGCTGAATAACTGGCCTGATAGCAAGAATTGATGATAAACCTGGTGAGCTAGTAATGTAACCCCAATGATGGAGCCAATTATAGCTGGGTAAACGGGTATCGGGTGCGGATAGGATAGGAGATACCAGATAATTGATATTGTAACGAACGGTTACGCTAGCGATAAGAAATCGCGAAAATGTAGGATATGCATTTAACGAAGAAACTAAGCTAGGTTGTGAAGCTATTCAGGAGCTGGTCACAATATGTGTGGGCCAGCTCTGAAGCTAGTCCCGATCGGGTAGTTAGGTCATAGGGTATCGCGAAGGAAGGTCTTCGGAGGCAGGTCACAGTCCGTGACAGATAACTGTTTAGTCAGAGAGCTTACATCTTTGAAAACGGGAGAACTCTGCGATACCTTTAGCTATACCCAATCGGGATTCATTACATTTTAATCTAAACCTGAAAATCAAGACTTATTTCCAATATTCTTTCAGCGTTAAAGTAAAAAATACGATCCTAGAGGGTAGTTAAAGTCGTCAATAGTTATACCTGTAATGTCTTATCTGATATCATTCCGTTATCTTCTTCGCCTTATTGACCGGAAGGAGATCCCTTTTGCCCGTATATATTAACTGTCTTTTCAAGGGCCTGTCTCGCTATATTTTTAAGGATGGCGCGTTAATCTTCCTCTTCCTGAGTGTTCTAGAAGATATAGTCGTAGATTACTGGGCTTGTTTGACCGATCTTGCGGATGCGGCCAAAGGCTTACGTGTAATTCGTACTGCGCCAGTCTACCTCCATAAGGATTAGGCTTGCGGCACGAGTAAAAGTCAGCCTACAGGAAAAAGTATTAATTGTAGCTACGAAAATATCGGGACTGCAGGCAGGCTCGTTTTTGTAGGTAAAAGTAGCTCCTGTCGGTAGCTCCTAAAACTTATTTATCTAGAACGACCGGTCTGTAGCGTTCCTCAGGCCGAGATATAGATGGTAAACGGAATAGTATTTGCAGATTGCCTAATAGCGTTAAAGCAATTGCTGATACAGAAATAGAGAGTTCGGGACAACTGACGAGATATACGATTACTGCTACAGTTGGGTATTGCAACAGAATTACAATCTTGCGCGGTTGGCCGATATCGGATTCGATATCTAGGCTGTCAATAATCCGCTGAATCGCGACCCAGCGGGACGAACCACGGAGTACCGTATCAATCTAGAAAGCCAACTAACTGTTTTCCGGGTGTGGTAAAATGTCTTCTGCCTCTATGCGTTTTACCGTAATAGGAATGTCCGTAATGGCCTTTCCTTGCTATTTAACATAGTAGAGTAAACCGGGAAAAGCCGCGCAGATACAGATGGCTTGCGTTATATTGTTTAGCTTTACCTTTAAGGTACCGCGGTTCACCGTGTGCATGGCATTATAGATATTGCCGAGACGGGTATTACGTAGCTGCTTAATATTCTCGCAGTCAGTAATATCCAGAGGACAGTTGATAGGATATACAATCTGTTCAGAAAAATCCAGGTAGGTGCGGCCGAACCAGACAGATTCCTGCGTCCGTTTTAGAAAGTTAATCGCACGGAAGAAGATGCCGAGGCAATCCAGTATAACGTTAATCTGGGTTACATTTTCCTTGGCGAAAACGGTATTAAACTGCTTTTCAAGCTGCTGGAATAACTGATAGTTATTTTTGCGCGTACAGGGATTAGCCCGCCACTGTTGGGTTTCAGTAAGACACATAAATGCTGCCAGATTTGCCGGAGACGACGTGCAGGGTGTCGCGGACAGAAACCAGTATACAAGAATCTAATATTCTACTAATGCCGTTAGTTTAAGAACGATAGAGATAATCTTATTATACGTAATATAACACTTGTCGCGAAACGTCCGGCTGACTGTAATACGATAGCTGATCTTCTATACCGGAACCTTCCTTGTAAGATCCGGAGAAAGTTTCCGAGTCCAACTCACGAAATTGGCGAAACGGCTGTCATAACTCTGGGAGATCGTCAGCAAGATAAACCGGCTGCAATAATTGCATTTGAGGTTCTCTTTGATCTGGCGCCAAGTCTCCCGATCCTTTGGGCTCATGGTCCCGAGGCGGTAGTGACTTACGATCGTCTTATAGAGGAAATCTTTCCATTTTGTTAGGTCCTTTAGAAAGAACTGATCGGTCCCGTTATTATACGACTACTGTTTTTACGTTAAGAGATTTCGGTAGGAATTCCGGTATTCTAAAACGAAAACTATATTGCGGATATAAGTGTCTCTTGTATCAACAATTAACTTCCACTCATTGTACCAGGTTGCAATGAGGCTGGCGTCGACAAAGATGTAGTTCGCGCCCTTGCGGATCTGAGAGAGAACATAGTTTTTCGCAGACAGTTAATAGAGATACCGAATAAGGAGATCGTAATCATGTCCGCAGGCTTGATAGTCTGGCTGGAAGGATGGCTAATTGCGGGCTCGTTACAGTATAATTTTAATCTATCTTGCCGTCAGAATTACCAGATAGGTCACAAGAGTCTGCCCGGAAGAAGTGATTAGTGGGCAAATATAGAGTTTCGCAGAAAAGAAGGGACTAACCTTGCTAAACCCGATATCGTCCGCAAGAAAATTCCTGTTCTGCAGGCTATTTCCTTCTTAATGCAGTATTTATACCGCACCGTACATTTGATAGGGGTAAAGGCGTCGCCAGAAACAGATTCCCGGAATAGAGATTCTGGCTGCTGCATCCTTTTTTACTTCTGGCAGAATTCTATACGTATAACACGCGATATTCTATATCTCCAAGTCGAAGTTATCGCAACGTAACGTGTCATTAAACATTAAGATCTTGGTCCTCCATTAGTTCGTGCTATTTCCTGAATTCCTAAGAGTTTAACCTACTTTTTCTCGCCGTCTAGGTCGTCAATAATGTTTGCGATATCTTTATCGCTCTCGTGATCGGGCTCGCTGCCCCTGTCACTGGCGGTTATAATTACATTATAAGATTCTAGAGAGAGACAATGCGTAATTAGAAAACAGGTAGAAAACGAAAAGATAGTATAAATACTAACAAAAAAGAAACAATACTGTCTGTTCGTGCAAGATTTGCAGTTGGAAGCGTCGGTTCTACGCGATTTAAGGACAGTACGGGCCTAACCTTGGGAACTGTTGTAATCTCTAGGACGGGAGTCTGCGGATGCAGGTTAAAGGCAGGTTCGTCAGGCACTTCTTTAGTTGACTCTTTAACAGTGGCGCGCGGAGGCTGCTCATCAAACAGCAGTTCGGGTTCGGCAACAGAGAATTCCTTACTTGTATCTTGATAAGTACCCTCGTTAGTATCTTTGTCGATCACTTGGTTAGAACCTTGGTCGGAACCTCTAACAGAAAGACTAGAGGCCCAAAACGTCAGAAACCGGCTGTCATTTAACTACCGGCGAGTGGTGTCCCTGTGTTTCCGCGATTTACCGGTAAATATACTAGCCTGCCTATCAGAGCAAGGAGGTAGGGAAAGAGAATCTTTTCCGCAGTACCCGGTATTCGAATTAGAACGGGGTAGGGAATCGTCTGATCTAGAGGCAGAGGGGTCTATCCGTAGCAAAGAGTTTTCGAGAGGGTCTAGGGAGGTCTTGGGCCGGATCTCGAAGACCTGGACGGCCCCCGTAGCCTTCAGAAACACAAACTGCAGGCGATAGAGAGAAGAGACTGGTCTTATCGGGCTCTCATTCGGGTCCAGTAGCCAAATCTCCTCATATTCCGGGCGGAAATGACATTCGTCCTGAAGGAACTGCAACTATCGCTCGTATGCGACGTGGATAGGCCGAATCGACTGACTGAATGCGAGCTGAATGTTATCGCGGAATAAAAGAATAGGTACCGTCTCCCCGATAATGATAGGGTTCCCTTTACGGCAGACGTAAATGTCGATAGACGGGATGTACGATCCGGTAGAAGTATAAAGTAGGACAGCGGAAAAGGGTACAGTACGGGCCAAAGAGGATTAGCGAGGTGTTTCAGCTAATCCGCCCATAGAGATATCGCTATCGGAATGCACGCAACGATTATAGTCGGTAAGATCGGATATTAGACTCTAGCCGTTAGGGCTAATGGCGCGCCTTTCTTAGTTGCGGCAGGTGCGGTAGCGCCGGGAACGCTTGCACCTGTCAGATATTGGAGATCAAGATCTTTTGTTACTGCTTGATAACTTGTTACCGTTAGACTCTGACTCGTGGCGACATTGCTTCCGTCCA